ATTCAAGCTAAACCATTCCCGTCGGGCTGTCACGTGTGCGCCGACCATTTTGCTGGAAACATAATGCGTCGCGAAACGATGTTAAAATATGGCGTGCTACGGATTAACCGCCGACGCGACTCTCTCCCGCACTTTTGCGCGTGGCTCTTCCTCCTTTGGCAAACACGTATACGGATTTCGCACTCTCTTTTTCCCGCTCCGTCCTATCCGTCCGTCTATCTGCTTGCTTTGTTTTCAGTTTTTGCGCGTACTGCGCTCTTGGGAAAAGCGCCGCTCCGTGCGTATATGTGTGCTGTGCTAGCTACCTCGATGTTTGCACAATGAATTATATCTCGCGCAGTCAGACGACCCGACTGATATTTTATTCACAGACGCGAGACAGCTTCGATTTTCGTTAAATATTCCAACACATATTTTTTTGCTTCGTTTCCCTCCATTTTTCATTGTTATTCACTTGGGACATACGCCTGGAATGAAATTCCGCCACTTTGCCGATGAATCTCGCGAAGCACTGCAATTCATGCCACTGCGCGAAAGGAGATCAAACAAATTCGATTAGTCGAGCATGAAACACTTTCGAGATAGCAAACGCAGGCGTAGAGAAGAGAAGCGACGAGGAAACACGGCACGCAAGTGGAGAAAGTGTGCGAGCGGTCAGCCGAAGGGAGCGCTCGCCGCGATGGCACTGACCACTCGTGGCTGCATCCGTTGCACGAGATGCATTCACCAACACAATCGAATGCTTGCACATGCGGCTGGCAATATGTGCACCAACGAGAAACGAGCATCCATTCGTGGGTGGGGCAAATGAGAGAGCGAGAGAGCTGGCGATATGTCTCTGTCTCCCTTTTCACTTTCACTCTCTCGCTCTCTCTCTCTCTCTCTCTCTCTCTTTCTCTCCGTTCCCCGTGCTGCAGCGCGCAGCGTCTCTCTTTTCGTGCATGTGCAACGTGTGCGCGCGCGAAAACTCGCGATACCCTGCTCTCGCAAATTACTGCAGCTACTGGTGCGTACGGGGCATATTGATGGGGGGATTTCTCACTGCACGGCCACGTTGCACAGCCCGATGTATATGTGCAAGCCCGGCTCGGATGATTGGCTCGAACGGATGTAGTCGAGTGTGCGACGGCGCGTGCTAAAGTTCTCTGATGAATTTCCATTCGCCGCCTGTATGCATGTGTGATTGCCAAAGAGCTCGAGTAAACGACAATTACGCAGCCTTTTATTAAACCACTTTCCAATCGATCCATCAATTTTATTGTTTTCTCGGTCAATCTTAAACTCGTTTTTATCGATCTATTTCTGTACAATACGTCGACACGTCTCTTATCTGGACAGCCTGAGTCACTTATGTCACTGCAATTCTGTCGTAATACGGATACGAGTAAGCGCAAGCAGGAGAGCGACGGCTAAATGACAAGGGTGCCAAAAGAATACTAGTGACCTAAGACCCGTTGCACCTCGAAAACCACGCCGGACGAATGATGTGCCTCTTCTCCTTCTCTCGCGAGCTCTTTCTCTCTCCCTCCACGTCTCGCTCAAATCACACACGTACGCACACGTATACACACACGTATATTTATATGCCGTGAAGCACCTTTGCATACATCTTCTCTCGTGCGAACAAAGGCCCCGAATATATACAGATAGCACGCATGAACAATAGTTGCGCTACTCTCTCTCTGGCTTTCCCATTCGAAAGTGTGTGACGACTCGCGGTTCGACCAGTTCTCGCACGCACACATGCACACACAGCCGTACGCGTAGTTGGGCCCGATAATTTCGACGGAGAGAGGGAGAGATGTGCGCTTCGCGCTATAATTGGCTTTGGCCCCGGCGTCGAATCCTCGATTAGCATACTCGCCTCGAGATCTCTTTCGTCACGCGCATATTATATCCACAGCGATTTTCATGCATACATCGTACCTGAGCTACGCTCTCGCTCACTGCTTTTGTCGCTGTTAATATTTCTAATCGCACGCCGCGCTATGAAAACCATACGATTAATGCGCGTTTTGATTAGATTAGGGCACGCGTGAACTGTCGCGATTCTATACAATCGCGCAACGTTTGCTCGTCGCTCAGCTGTGCGCGGGTACGCGCGTGCGTGTGTGCCACTGAGAATTTTCTCATTTGCTAGAACTCGTTTCTTTAGAGCGCGCGAGATCACGCAGTTAGTATGCAAATTTTCCTTTGCTCTTGATTTGTTCAAAATAGGTTCGATACACGACGAGTTTTTCGCCTCTTTGCAAGAACGTGTTTGGCTATTCGCTGTGACATTCAATTAGGCGGGCTATTGAAAGAACAGCAGAGTATTTGTAAGTTGATTGACGTGCGCGCTTTTTTTTCTAATTAATAGATTGCAATGTATTTCGATGTAGTCGCGAGAGAATGGCAGAGTAGTTAATTGTCAACCGGTTAGGAGAGCAAACAGACGAGCAGTAGAAGCGATGTAAAAGGCATTGGTGCGGCCCGTTGACCCCAAGACGTTTCTGCATAAGTGAGCGAGCGAGCGCACGACCGAGGGAACAGGCTGACGGTCGAAACCGGACCACCCTGTCATTAGCATACAAAGCTCTTTCTCTTTTGGTCGTCGCAGCAAGTGGTCCACAAGGCCGTGGCGGTTAACGACTGTCATTACCGTTGCGCGCGTCCCTTGCAGAAATTTCGCCGCCGCACTTCCGCCTTTTGCTATAAGCAAGCGCCGCGCCTGCCTGCCTGCCTGCGCCTGCCTGCCCATTTGCGCCTTTATTTGCGTTAATACTTTCCGCGCGGTACAGGATCTACTGCTCCGCGACTCCTTGAGAGCCAGACAATGCGCTCACTCGCCACTCGCCTTCTCTGTTCTTGCTTGCGACACTGTGAATTATTAACGGGAAAAAGCTGCCGACGATTTTTATTGACACGCTGCTCCTGCTTTTGCTCGAGAAAAAAAACAGGATTTCAAAGGAGAATAGCGACAAACAAACGCTTATAATCTCTCTCATCCCAGAGACTCGCCCCTTCTATTAGTAGCCTTTTCTTTCATTGTCTTGTCTTTATTTTAATGAATACTTTGTTCTTACTTTTTTTTACGGAATCCTGCATCTTTTCCCATTCGCTTTCTGCGCAAACTTTCTCGGGGTGCTGTGGCAAATGACTTGAACAATTTTACACAATTATTGAGCAACTTTTCTTCAACATCATTTCTGCTTATGCCTTAAAAGGAAAGTTATCCACTCGCACATGATTTGGAAATTCAAATAAATAACCATCGTAGACAGAGCAAAATGCGCTCTTCCTAATTCGATTGTAAGACTCCACGTCATCTCTGCAAAGCCGCCTCCCCTATCCAATGACAAGGCGCTCTCTCTCTCTCTCTCTCTCTCTCTCTCTCTCTCTCTCTCTCTCTCTCTCTCTCTCTCTCTCTCTCTCTCTCTCTCTCTCTCTCTGACAAACGATGATTTGATTATCAGACGTGGATTCAGATGAAGTCAACCGCCGCGCAGTTCTCTCTCATTGGGATGGTGCAGTACTCTCAGCCTTTTATTTTTTGTCGTCAATTTTTTTCTTTGGCGAAACGGATCTACCGAGCAAAAAAAGACACTTCAAGCCAACGAGAGAGACGATACCCGGGGTGACGTCAATCGTCCAATGGCTTTGTTTTCGAGAGCAGTACCGTGTCTTTTTTCGTTTTTTTTTCAGCGCGAACGGGGTGTGCGCGTACGCGAATCACGCGTTTGTAAAGCCAGTCCCACAGCCGGCTGCCAAAAGTACAGCCGGCCCATGAGTAATCCCACGTGTCTATCTGCATAAGCGCACAAGAGAGCGACACAGTAGCGCAGTGGAAAAAAATGTTCCGGTTGTGGAAGGTGGCGCAAAAAATCGAGAAAAAAAGTCTAACCGCCCCGGAAACGCGAGAACTCCCGGTCAAATGCGTCAGCGCACACCAGGTCAATCCTTACTGCCGCTTTTTTGTTGTATGCTTGACAGATGATCTACGAACAATACTTCTAAAATTTTGATGTTCTTTTTTCATCTATAGCCATCAATGACTGCGTAGCTCATTGTTTCTATTTAATATTCGTGAGAGGACTTGCCATTGTTACTTACGACGAATGAAATTGTAATTGAACCAAGTTTTTGTATAAATGAAAAGCAATACATTGAACTGTGGTGTTTTATGTACCGTTGAAAGTGTATATAATTATAAGAGATAATAAATACATCAAAATAAACGGACCGGTGAAGCGATGGATATAGGATTGGAATACTTTCCTTCTGTCACTTGGGTAATTAAAGGCTGGCTGGATAAGACGTGCGCGTCGTGACTTCGCCAGGAATTGAGCTCGGCCGCGAGACCTTTGATCTCGGCAAGCTGAACGACGTCGATTTACATAAGATCTCGCATTATGCTGCTGGGGTACACATACGCACACGCGCGCTCGCGCGACTCCCCTCTTTCTCTTAACGTCGCGACGTTTTTTTTCGCAGTCCCTTGTGCTCCCATAGTGCAGGCCCGCGTCTTATTTGCATACGCCGCTGGCCCAGCACTCATCGTTAGGTCCCTACGTTCCCACACACGACTCGCCTAGCTCGAGTTCCTTTGCTTTTATTATACATTTTCAATGCGGACAATTTACTATTTTCACCCGATTCCGAGTAATGTTTTTCTCGAATAGTCACTGCGACTCACAAATTTCAGTCACTGCGTCACTAAACAACATCGATAAACGTTTCCAGCAAGAACTACTTAATAAGTATTTACCTTTCCGGCCGAAACACGTTGCACGACGAAATGATACATCACTGTTAACTATTCATATTAAAGCATCTAAATTGGTATATTCAAGTCATCTATCGTGGAATTGAAAATCAAATATCATTAATAAATAATCTTACCTTTTTTACACAGCTGCGTCAACATAGCGTGCAAATACGTTAATAATTGCTGAAATATCAATTATTTGACAATTTATGAAAGATACACAATTTTTATTATCAATTCATTTGACATTTTGCTTCCAACATCGTTATAAGCTGAATACGTTTACAAATACATATTATAAAAGGTTTTTTAGTTGATAAAAATTTCAAGACATTATTGATTGTTAAAAACAGGCTATCTAAATCATATGATTCATCGCTATTTTCACGACTGGCATCCGTTTACATAATTCTTGAAAATATATTAGACTAAAGGCGAAGCTCTGAATATCAAAATGGTACAAAAAAAATCATAAATTATAATGAAAAACGTGTGATACTTGAAAAAAATAGAAAAAGGAATGTGTAGAGAAAAAAAATGCATGCAATGAGACGTTGATAATTAGTGGATTTCTCGATCGTCTTGATAAACTAGGCGCACGTTCACCTCCGAGCCAATGCGCTGACGCAATTCATCCAAAACACCGGCTTGAATCTGCTCGACATCCTCTTCTGGGCAATATTCATCAACGCAGGACCTGTCGAGTAGAAGAAGAAAAGAAGGCACGGTGAAAAAGTCAATGACAAAAAAACAGTAAAGGAGGGGAAAATGAGAGCAATTACGGGGGCAGCTCGCGACAATCAATTATTCCCGTTGCGTAATTCCTCGTGCTCGGCTAATGGTCTATTATACAATTATTGCAGGCAGTAAATTTGCCCGGGCTAATTGTTTCTGCTAAATAAAAGAAACAATCGCTTCCCTGCCAGCGGTCGGGCTGTCGCGGTCGGCGACAGCGGCGGCGCGCCGGGGCACCTCGGAGCGACGTTCGACGCGACGCTTCGCTAGCTTCGGCCTCGCGCGCGCGCCAAGCAGCGGGGAGAGGCAGAGCCAGGGGCGCGACTTACCCCCCGCGCCGCCGTCGCCGCCGTCGCCGCCAAAAACTCCACCAAGAAAAAGTAGGGAGAAGAGCGCGAGAGGGGCCGCGGGCATTGGGGATTGGATGCTGCGGACCCGAGCATCGTCGTGGAAGGGCACTCAAGAAGTATGCAAAAACGAGCAGCTTGGAGGGGACACGCTGGAGGAGAAGTAGAGGACAAGAGATATTACGAGATGGGGAATGTGTGTATTACGTGAGCGCCAAGTGGGGTGAATCGATCCTTCTTTTTGTCTTCTTTGTCGTCGGAATCCTCCCTCCGTGCGAGAGAGACTCCTACGCTATATACGCACGTCGCATGTCACATATCGCTGTCTCCAGTTTCTTATCACGAGGTGGCGCTAAACTACTCTTACTTACGATCAAACTTTCGTCGAAAAATGTATAATTTTAGTCGAGTTACCTAAATTCAATGTTCTTCATAATGTCAATAACCTACATGTACAATGATTATTTGTACTTATAACAAAACTTTGAAATTTGCAAATCAATGAAATTCTCAGTCACCGTACTGAGGATGGAATCATTAACACTAAGTTTATACAAAATCATAGTATTAATTAACTTCTATAAAGTTAGAACAGCAAGTCCAATAAGTAAATTAACAGATACAATATTCTACAAGCGTACACTAGCTTTTTGTAGAAATCTTTTGAATCGGTTCTAATTTATCTCAAATATTATAAATGTCATAAATCAATTGCATTTTTACTATGTAAATACGCAGTCTCTAAGATTCGTCTTCTCTTATCGACTATTTTTGCAGGTAGTTCTACGTATAAAGATTATATCTGTTGTTACCAATATTAATAACTTTAAACGATTTGGTCAACAATGTCATCGCAAACCGCAATAGCAACGATAAAAAATTTAAACTTAAATTTCTCGTACGTTGTTCCTAGCGACATCGGACGGTAAGACGCTGAACTTCGAACGAAATTCTATATACCGCTATGACTATCTAATATTACCCCTCATTTTATAAAAAAAAAGGGTGGGACTCGTGTGTGGCCCTACTGCCGCCCATTTCATTAAACCATCCCCCTGATCCCACCCCATTTCTCCCTCTTCTTTTCCCGTAAGCTGTTCCCTTTTCCCCGTACGGCTTCATCTACGCTCTTAGGAGGGATGCTTGAAAACACGCCACGTGTGTCGTTTACGTAATGATTGTCACGCGTACATGGACATTTCTTTCTTACAATTGAAATAACATTGTTGCTTGATTTACGGATTGATGTAAAGACCCTTAACCCCCTTATTGGATTTACACTTTTACAATAACATTATTTTAAAAGTTGACGAAAAAAAAATATCTAATGATTAAAAATTTATTAAAAATTATAGTTAAAGAATATGATAACTGCGCTTTTTTATTTTGCAATAATTATGTGAATTTTACTTAAAGAAAGAGTATTTTTGTTAATAAATGAATAGCATACCTTGCAATGGTCACTATGGTAGGAGGAGCAGGTAAAGCATTGAGAAATGACTTGAACGTTCCTTCGATTAAACGGTCGAGATCCACTTTACTAGTTATGTGATACGGAAGCTCAGTATCATCAATTGTAGAACCAGCATTATGAATAAGCAGCCAGTCGATTTCAGAATCCTTATACTCTCTAGTTAGTTCATTGTAGAGATCACGAACTGCATCTAATCTAAAATTAACATTGAAATATGAGAAAAACTATATGAATATGGCGCAATCTGACAGTTGTATTTACAAATGCGTTAACAATTCGAAAATTGAAAGGAGTAGTACTGCGCGGGTGCGAGTTGCGGGTATCTTTAATTGGATGTTGGGAATTAGGGAGTGAAAGCTTGCGTGCGAGCCACCAAAGATAGCAAGTAAAGCCAAGCAGTCACGTTCGGTTAATCTGTTTGAAATACCAATGACCAGTTTGGCTGAAGTAAACCAACTTACAGATTAGTTGCGGCGGGATCGTGTTTTACAAATATTGTAGTCCTATTAATAGTGACGAAATCGATTGTTTCAAAAGACACTTCAAATAGTAAAAGGTATTTACAAAGGTAAATACCTATTACAAAGGTACTTCATATTGTTAACTGTTTACTTATAATTTAATGATAAGAATAAATCCTAACAAGTAATGAAAATTCTATATTTTTCATTATTACATTATATTGGGCAATATAAAAAGAATAGATTCTATAAATGATTGGATTCATGAAGCGATAAGCGTAATTTATAATAAATAGTTATAAATAGCAGGATATCTTCCCTAGATTTTGGATATCTTACTGTCGAGTTATTGAAATCTTCTATTTCAAATCATTTTCTTTGCATTTTGAACGATTAAGTTGAGGGCATTTGTTTTAATAAACGTTGCATTATTGCTTAGTAAGAATAAATATATTTATAGCATTTCTGTTATTGCGTTATAAAATTTTAGAACACACTAGTTCCAAACCAAAAATGTTGTAATTCTTATCAGTATATAGCTGTGTATAAAACGCAACATTTATAGCAAAACTTTGAACTTAATATCGTCAATTATAACTTCATTTTTTCACTTTTCATCATATTACTTTTTAGTATACTACTAAAACCTGTATTTTAAGCAGATAAAATTATGTTATAAGTTGCAAATTTTACTTTAAAAAAATTCCATTTTTTGACACAACGATATAGCGAAATTTTCCAGAATAACAAAATTTCACATCGCATACTTATCCTGTTACCGGTACTCAATGATACTTATTAGCCAATCTCTTTAGTGGCTCAAAAAAAAATTTGCCGTTGTTCATTTATAATTATTATATATTATAAATATAAATCTCGAGGTGTATAACAATGTACTAGTTGGTCTATTTACTTCTGCATTTTATTTATGCTATAGTATAGTTTAAATTTTGCTTTTAAAGCAAATAAAAGTTGTATCATCATATTGCTTTTTAATAAGACAGATTCACCTTTAGAAAATATTTTAAATTTGGTTAGAAATCAAAAACAAAAGAATTGTAATATTTTATTTATGAAATAATTTTTTTGATACTCCGTGCGCAAAGTGCGTCTTCCCCGCACGCTCGGCAAAAAACGTGCGTTGAAAATCGCACTTTCCATAAGTCGTATAATAAAATACGGTACGGCACATGTTCGGGAAAGAGTTTCTCGTCTCGTGTACCTCGCTTCGCTCGGGCGTAAGCGCTACACGAGACAAGAATCTACTTCCCCGCACTTGTATCGTAATGTACTATAGTTTGCCTCTCTTTTCTAAATGTGAAAGTAATAATAGTACATTACGATACAAGTGCGGGAAAATAGATTCATGTCTCGTGTGGCGTTTACGTCCGAGCGAAGCGAGGGTAGAAAGGTACACGAGACGAGAAACTCTTTCCCGAACATGTGCCGTACCGTATTTTTTGATACGACTTGTGAAAAGTTCGATTTTCAACGCACGTTTTCTGTCGAGCGTGCAGGAAAGACGCACTTTGCGCACAGAATATCAAAAGAATCATTTTGGGAGAGTTCATTTCCTTTACTGGAATTCTAGACTAAACAAAGCCATTTAAAAAAAATATTTTTTCTTGTTTTGAAAATAGTTTTTTTATAATTTTATATGATTTTTAAAATGAAAAAAAAATATTGTAGAAAAACGGCTCAGTTCAGTCCATTCAGTTCATAGTACAAATTTTTATTGAATAAAATCAGTTATTGGGTTATCGAGTTAATCCAAAATTACTTACGTTCATTTTAACGTTTAAAAAAGCGTAGCATACTAAATTTTTTATAAAAGACGTAATGCAAATAACTTTACGATGATTTATCGGGGCTTGTGTTTGTAGTTTTTTAACTTATAATGAACAAAATGTAAGAAGAAAAACAATTTCACAACAATATTTGTATTAACAAATTTTACACGCGATGAAGAAAAATAAAAAAATATTATTATAATTAAACCCCGACTGATTCATTTAAAAGGTTAGATCTGTGTAATTTACTCTTGTTTTCCACACTTGATATTTGATTATTTATATACAACGTTCCTGTATGATTGCCATATATCCGATTTAATTATTATAGAGGTTATATTTACATTTAGCTATAATCTAAAAATATGACGATGATTGTAATACATTCATAAGTACCGTAGATTTAATGAAACTTATAGAAAATTTGTTTTTACCGTTTATTTTTAAACGCTTTAAATTACCATATAAAATTAATTGTAATTTTTATTGAGGTAAATTATATCTTTCGAATGAAACTTCTAAATTCAGGCAAAGCGTACTCTTTTGTATGAATAACGTCGAATTGTGACTTGTAGTTATATACCTTACGCTTTTGTAAACCATAACAAAAAAAGTCACTACAAATAATAAGTAATCTAGAATATCTATTACAGCGCATTTTCGACTATCTCAACATCAACATTATTAATTAAAATGAATCTTTTAAGTTCTAGATTATTTCATTATTTCGTTATTATCTACTTTAGCTTATTTAAGTTATTCTGTTGTCTCAAAATATTGTTAAAAATCTATTGAACTTATGAAAATTAGAATTCGTATGCCGAAAATAATAAAAATTGTATGGAATAATTAAAATTGTTATGTTAGCTTTCATTGCACTCTCTATGAATTTTAAGAAACCCAACTGTAAGAGTCATAATAATGATAGATTATAATTAAAACTACCATCATAATTTCTTGTTAATATTGAGATATTTCATAATAATTTTATAATAATTTCACCACTTTTCCATTAGCTAAACTTTATTGTCTCTTATTATGTAAAAAATATTGGCGATGTTTTATGTTTTATTTCCTTTGTCATATAATATTCGATAATGATCTTCAACGTTCTGAGGAATATCCCAAAAATTAAAATCAACTTAAAAACTACACTAAAATCCTATGTTTCGCCATTTTGTCCATGGTCTCTTCAGGAATAAATTTTGAAATACTTTTTAAACAGTTATACAATGATTTTCTTTCAGAAAAACTGAAATCATGAACTATGAAATCTGTAGTCAATTATGTGTGTCTCGATACATAATCTAGAAAGAACATTCTTATAGAAAGAAACTGTAGAAGAACCTGTAGAACAAACAAAGCAAATCATGGTATAATGTTTAGAAAAATTTATTCCTGAAGAGGCCATGGACAAAATGGCGAAACGTAGGATTTTAGTGAAGTTTTTAAGCTATTGATTTTAATTTTTGAGATATTCTTCATAACATTGAAAATCATTATTGAATATTGCCAATGTTATTTAGTATGAAAACAGTTAACATTACTCAATGCCATAATAACATGAATATACTTTTTCAAAGGAACTTTAGTATTTGGAGAGTGATTTTCAATTAAAAATTCTTCAACGTCACGCTGTAGTATATTCTCTGGCTTTCAAAGTACAAAATAAACTTTCTAACCCCGAGATATCCTAATACAGAACTAGGATACAATGCTGCATCTAGTAAAAGAATGGAATAGCCAAGAGTGTTGAAAAAAAAACAAAGAGGCCGCAAAAAAACGCGGGCAGAAGTCCCGTTAGCGATGGTGGGGGCCCTCATTATAAGGGGCGGCTTTGACGTATTTGTCGTTAAGGGGGTTACATGCAAATGGCGTCCCCCAACGTTAGCCAGCAGCTTGAAGAAGAGAAAAAAATGGCCCGATATATAGGTGGCAAGAATAATGCGCTACGACGTGGAGGGAGCACGCAGCGGACTACTACTCGGGATATGGATGTATCGTAATCAGATGATCAATTATTAAGGTAGAGGCAAAAAAACAAGGAGGGTTGACATATCCGAGTGACGAGCCAGAGACTCGTCGGCTGGCTCCGTATACTCGCGCATATCGTATACGAGTATCGCTTGGCTGGATCTATACGCTCGAGGGTCGTATTGGCTCGACGTGCACACGTACCTTTTTCCACGTGAGCTTATCGCCGGTGCGGGATCTGCAGACGCGGAGCGTCTTTGTTCCTCGAAGCGATGATCGATTAAAGAGACGACTAGGCTGTCTTCGCATTCGTGTATGCTGACTACACACGTCATGTGTACAGCCAATTACTCAAAAAATGCGTTAATTCGGCGTGGATTTTGCCAAATTATTAAATTAAGTATTGGTGCCTAATTTTTTTTATTTTATCAATCTATAAAATTATTTAAACCAATAATGCTTGTTAATAATGTTTTTTCATACGTATTCTTGTAACACTAAATTTTTACTTTCAGAAATCTTAAAATCAGTTTATTTCTTTTTAGAATCTAGAAAAAACGAAAATAATAACGTTAATCTGACTTTAGATTCTATTTCTATGAGTTAAATACGTCGAAAACTACATCTAGATTTATTTTTAGCTTAAAGTTTAGAGCATTGCAGAGCTGTGCAAACTGTGATACTGTATAAACAACTTATTGCTATAATAAAACTGCAAATTTTACACGTTTTTACGCTGAATTTATGTTTTCATCTGCCATAATCAATATTTTAAGTAAAAAATAAATGAAGATATGGTTTTCTACGTATTATAACTCGAAAAATTCAAATTTGAAATTATATCAACGCTATCATACGTTTTCCATTAATTAAAAAAAAATCTATTAGAAACCCATATAAAAGTGATATGGTCGTTTCTGTTGACGCCAGCACTGTTATCGGCAAAAAAGGGATGTCATAAGTATACATA